GTAATACCGCTTCAGGTTGCTGTATAGGGAAGTGTAATTGCAACTTCCTAAACTATTGCTGATCTCTATAATATACCAGTTTCAACAACTGTCGTCAAGAAATATGTCTGTGAAATCATACATCTTTGTAATTTTTCCACAAACAAAACTTATTTAGCAGTATGTTCAAATCCCCAAAGGATTTTACATGTTTAACTTGTTTCATCAAGCAGAAATTAACTTTGGTTTTTCCAATATACAAAGAAATTTGTCCATGTTATTATTTGTTTTGTTAGGTTTTTAAATCTTGGAGACTTCATAAAAATTGATGCTAGCTTCAGAACGCTCTGCAAGAACTTTAAACAAAATATATATTATTATATCTAATTTTCCTGAAAATATTGAACATTTATTAACTTTTCAGGATGGGTGATATCCTTAACATTTTTATGAAAACTATCCATAAAAAATACCTAAACTATCAATTATTTCTTCTTTCCTGTTATCCTTCACAACTGTACTGTTTTTATAATTTTATTTTAAAAAATGTATGAGAACCAAATTATTACACATCAATAACTATTGCATAATTAATTATAAGTACAAATACATTTTGTAAAGAGAACTAAAACATCTTACAGTGGAGAATATTAATGACTTTGCTTCTGGATCTTCCATTTTTATCTGAAGTAAACATCTCACAATACCCTCTACTTTTGTGGAGTGGCTACCCTGTGTAATGAAAGGATTACATATATACACTATATATAAAGAACATATATTAATATTTTGTGAACACACCTTATGTGTATTATTTATATCTAACTAACACTTCATTAAACATGGTCAATTAAGAACTCTGTTTTTGTTTCTTTTAGGTTTGACAACATTTCCTTCGATATACAAAGTTATTCTTATAGCTCATTTCTAAGTTAGGATATCAAGTTTAAAATTTAACACAAAAATGAAACACTTTTTCTCTACCTTGACTGATATTTTCTCTTCTTCGGCAGAAGCTCTTGTGTCAATATACGAAATATTTGAGGTAGGAGTTCGCTGACGACAGACAGCACATCGTAGTGACAGGTTACGACCACCAACAGCAAATTCCGTTATCAATATACGAATACAATCACAACAGAAACTGTGGCCACATTCTAACACACTCCACTGAATGAGACAATATATGTTTATGAAATAATTAGTATCTTTTTGGTAGAAATATAAAAACAATATTTCAACAGTTATGTAAATATTAACATCAAAAGGAAGGATTGCATTAAAAACAGCAAGAACAAAAATATGATGAAAAAACATTTTAATTATCAAAACAAACCTGAACAACTACAGCAGAGAGTGCAGCACATATTAAAAAGATACCCAGGACACAGGCTTATATCCCACTTTATAGCCTGTGGCTTGGTGATCTTTTTTAATATATGCAGCATAACAAAGTTATATATGTATATAAATTTCCAAGATTATGACATAAAACTGAAATCATATCTTTTGGGGGACAATCTGTAAACACAAGAATAATTCTGTATAAATAAACTACCATCACAAAGATAAAACTTATACAACCTAATGAATTATTTTATTACATAATAATTTATAAAATATAAGTCATTTTTATATTATAAAATGATAAAAATGTTTATAATTTTAAGCTCTGTTAAGTTACAAAATAATAAAAACTTAAAGTCCTAACACACTGCTAATTTCTATAATGATAAGACATATGGTGTTATAAATATAAACAAATGATAAAACATTTATAAATAATGCTAATTCAAAAACTGTTATTCTTCTGTTATTTCATTGAATATTATTTAATTGAAAGTTTTGCATAATGGCCAATTCAAACAAGTTACATAAAAATCTTGAAATAACGTAATACATTATGTACTAACATACACAATTAGTTTATATTTATGGAGCTTAACAATAATAAAACTGCTAACTTAGCTGTAACTTAGCAACTTTATTTCTTACCTGTACCCCCAATGTTCGTTGACAAATAGGACACAGTTCAGGATTCGAACCTCCTTTCTTGCCATGATCTGCCTGTGTGATAACACAATGTGTATTAAGAAATTCAATAATAATCCATAACTCAAAGAATAGTTTAAATTATGTTATTATTCAGATATAGAATGCTCTAAAAACTTTCAAATATTGTATTTCATCAAATTCCTATGTTAACTTATAACAGAAAATTAGCTTGAATGCTTATTCATTTACTTGAAATCCAAAGATGTTCAGTAATAAAGACGTAACAGTTGAGAACTTAAAAATTTCCTATTTCATTTACTGCATCTTTCACTGCACGTAAAATAAAGAATAATATATATATATATATATATATATAACTGTAACACATAACTACCCTAGTTTTAATAAAACCAAGAACATAATTAAGGAGACAATGCCTACTTAAACTTACCTAGTCGGTAGGGAGGACAAGGCACA